GTTGTGTTGCAGCCAGTGGCACAGGGAACATCTCACGAGTAGAAGGAAAAAATGGATTCAACAAAATTTCAGCAAATTTTGGATGGTAACTTGATGCCATCTGTGAAAAAGCTGAAGTTAAAGAGAGGATGGCTTCTACAAATGGATAATGATCCTAAACACACCTCAAATTTCACGGGGGATTACATCAAGAGGCGTAAACTAAAGGTTTTGCCATGGCCTTCACAATCTCCTGACCTCAACATAATTGAAAATCTATGGATAGACCTAAATGAGCAGTGCGTGACAGACAGCCCAGAAATCTCAAAGAACTGGAAGACTTTTGTAAGGAAAAATGGGCAAAGATACCTCAAACAAGAATTGAAAGACTCTTGGTTGGCTACAAAAAGCATTTACAAGCTGTGATACTTGCCAGAGGGGGCAGTACAAGATATTAACTCTGCAGGGTGCCCAAACTTTTGCAGACGCCATTTTTTTGTTTTCTGTTATTTTGAAAGTGTAAATGATGGAAATAAAATCTAACTTTTGTTGACATATTATAAGAATGTCTAATCTGTAATTTGATGCCTTTTGGAGATTTTTCCATCTTTCCTTGGCTTCTTTATGCACATTAATACAAATGTTTAGCTGGGGTGCCCAAACTTTTGATCCCCACTGTAGATAGTGGCAAGGTCACTACTAAAACCTATAGAAAACAGTGTATGGGTAATTCCTTATTGCTCGCCTCTAGTTGTCATCCGACACATACTATTAAAGCATTACCCATTGGTGAGTTTGTGAGGGTGAGAAGGAATTGCTCCACTCAAAGTGATTTTGTAAAGGAATATAATATAGTCTCAGGTAGACTTAGAGAGTGGGGATACAGCCAATATTTGGTAGATTGAGGAATGATTGCAGCCCAAAAAAAACACCAGGATAATCTAATTATAGAACCTTTGAAGTAAGATAAATTCCACAACAAAGTTCATTTCATTACTACATATTCTATGCAATACAATCAAATTATTGCCATAATTATAAAATGTTTACCGATTCTTTATGCTGACAAGGTGTTGTATGATATTTAAAAAAACGGATGCAATTTTTCCTGTAGAAGAGCTCCTACTTTAGGCACATTATTATCACCCAGTTTGTTTTGCTCAAAAACTAATGGTCAAAGCAGTGAATGGTTGAGAACTAAGGGTTCTTATCCATGTGGTACAAAAACAGGTAGACAATGCAAAAGGCGTAAAAAACATACTACAGTTACTTAATTTTCCAGAGAGAAAGTATATGCTTTAAAATGTTACATCAATTGCAATTCATGGATGGTAGTTTATACTATAGAATGCAGTGCTTGCCGTCTCCAATATGTGGGATGTACTATTTGTTCATTACGAGTTCGAATATCTGAACACTATAATGACATTAACAATCCACATGCTAAAAACATTTCTAGTGTCTCTCAACATTTCAGAGAGAAGCATGGTGGGAACCTTGACTCCTTTTCTTTCCTTGGTTTGGAATATGCAAGAAAACCTTTAAGTGGAGGAGTTGTACACTGCGCCTTACTTAAATGTGAAGTGTGGTGGATTCATATGGGCAATACTAGGGTTCCTTTTGGTTTATATAATAGAATGGATGTTAATCTTTTTTTGAAATAATTGAAATATGACCTTTATTATTCTCATGTTCAATTTGCGGGCATCCATGTTGAGGACAGTTTTATTTTATTATGCTGCTCTTGCACTAGGATGCTTGCAGTTATATGCATTAGACAAAATTTTCTCTTTTTCTTCCTTTTCTCTGAAATCCTATTGCTTCACTTTCACCTGCAATCATTTAGACTGAACAATGATTTTAATTAAGTATGTACCGCCCCTAATTTTGTGGGCTGCTATGTTATATAAGTTTGATTTGTAGTTCTTTTTGATGTAAGCTTTGATAAAGGCTGTGGCTGAAAAGCGTCAGATTTTATGGATTCCATGTCCTCTACTGTGTGCCAATAAAGCATATATGAGAAGGATATGAGTTTCCGGCTATTCTCTCATGAATCAGGGGTTCCTGAAAACTATTTAGGGGTTCCTATGGGGTAAGAGATTGGGAAAAGCTGCTCTATAGTATTCCTTTCACTCCTCCCCTGGAAGGAAGGGAATGGGAAGAAGAGATGGTTCAGTACAGACAATAATTAGACTTTCCCAGAAGAGGAAAGGGCTATAACCTGCAAGGAGGAAGGGTTTTTGTGTGAACGAATTGACTCTTCTTAACCACTTCCAGACTGCCTCCTGTAGCTTTACTGTGGCCCCACTATATATACGTGATCCAGCATTTTCAGGTAGGGGGGCACACGCATGCCTGCCAGTCAGGCTGTCCTGTCGTATGCTAAAGCACAAGTCGATTAGCGGGTCCTGGCAAATTATTTATGGCAGGGACCTACAGATCAGCTGAGCGAATGACAGAACAGAGCTCTGTGTTGATAAACAACACAGAGCTCTGTACAGGCAGCAGCAATGAGCCATTTGTTTTCTCCCTGCAAAGCAGGGAAAATAAAACAGGCAGCTCATGTAGTAAAAGCAGCACATACTACACTCAGTAAACATTGTTAGGCATAGAGGTAACCCTTTGATTGCCCCTTCCCAGCCAGTGTCATTATTACAATGGTAGTATATAATATTTACACTGATCACTGTATTAGTTTCACTTGAGATGTCATTGGCAGTTAGTCTGTTCACACCCCGTGTCAGTTAGTGCCCGATTGTCCACCACACTATCACCGTCCCAGTATAAGCTGCTGATCACTGCCAGTACTAGTATAAAAAAAATAAATACAAATTTCAGTATGTATCCCAAAGTTTTAAGATGCTACAATTTTCACGCAAACCAATCAATATGCTCTTATTCAGTTTTTTTTGTTTTTACCAAAGACATCAGAATACTTTTTGGCCTAAATTTATGAAGAAATTTGTATTTTTATTTGTTTATTTGTCCATAACTTTTTATTACTGAAGATAACAAAATAGTACATACATTGCTTTTGGTCAAAGCTGGGCTTTCTTTTGGCAATATTATTTAGCAAAAATTATTTTATTTACTTAAGAATCTATAGAAAAAATACTTGAAAAATGAAAAATTTGTTTTTCCTCTGTATCAGCCAATTTTAGTTCAGAAGGTAATTTTTCGGTAGACAAATTAAATATACCTTTAAATCTAAAAGTATAAAATTATGTTTAAAATGACACTGAAATTATGTTTCTGGTACAAAGCATGGCAAACTGGATATTTGTAAATGGAGAAAATACTTTATTTTTTCAATTTCTCACATTTTCTTGTTAAGCAACAATGAAAAAAAAAAACAACTAATGAAAGTGAAAAAAATTAAAAATAGGGGTAAAACATTAGATATTAAAATAAAAAAATCAGCAGAAGAATCATAGCTAAGGGAAGGAGGGGAGCAATGCAATAATTAGGGCTGATTAAGGTTAACTAAAGTGGAACTAAACTCATTAATACTAACCATTGCTTCATGAAGACCAGTGCTGGCATCTTCTCCCTGGCTACTTCCGGGTGCCATTCTTTGGACATTTGACCATCTGGATTGGCTGATGCAGGATGGCATCACTCCCATGCATTTACAAGAGTGCAGTCATTCCTGCTCACAGGCACTATGCTGGAATGTAAACTGAGCTGAGCATCGTAGAATAGAGGAAAACATTTTTTGTACTTTAGTCTGCAATCCTCAAACTTCAAATATTTAGTCCAGTAACACTACTTACTAGGTAAAGCAGTCTAGCTTTGGAGGAGGTTTTATTCCTTTATGCCACCGTACTAACCCTGTGTACCATGGTTCTCATGCTTTCCAATAGTATTACCTATTAAGTAAACACAAGACTGGTGTTTCAGGTGTCTCTTTCTACTCATGTGCCTGAGTTTCTACTGCCTTCATTGGGTCTAGAGTACTAACCTCCTTTGTCTGCTGTAAAATCCAACCAGTATACTAAGGGCTCCACATTGTTAATAAGCAGCATTGGTGTGCTGCAAAGTCATGTGCATGCCACCTTCTAATACTGGGCAAGTTGGAATGTTCTCTATCATACCTCCAATCAAATTCTGACCTCTTTGAGAACTGAGCTAGTACAAAAGGTTATCTACCTAGCTAACAGGTAACACATTGTTATCCATTTTGTTTTCTACACAAGGTTGACATTTACTAGGAAGCTGGAGCATACAAATGGCATTAGGTATTCACCTGAATTGCTGCACAGAGCATGTGCAGGGTGCTTCAATGGCCTACAGTAACAATTTCCTCCTATGCATCTGTGTCAGGAACCAGATCTGAACCTACATGTCCAGCTGTGGCTTTTCTAGCTGTGCCCCTAGGAATGCTGAGCAGCTATCTGCCTGATTCCTTGAACAAACTTGTTTTGTGTCTTGCTTCTAGGGAACTTTGAACCGTTTGCTGCTCCATGAACTTCCTGATTTAAGCCATGTCTCTAAACTTCCTTTTTACCCGATTATTGTGCTTTCTCTAGCTGATATCTTGCTCCTTGCATACCTGCTGCTGTCCTTATCTTTGCTACCACTCATTATTGACCCTTGGCTTGTTCATCAATTACATTTCTGATCCTAAATTCTGATCCTATCCAGTTACTACTTGTTACTGACTTTTGGCTCATTTACTAACTATGCTTCTGCTTGATCCGTACCTGCTTAATCTGCAACAAATCCTAGCTTGCTCAACCTTGGTGGATTCTGAGGACTGCAACCTGGTACTAATATGCAGCAAAACCCATCTCCACCATCAGGAGGTCTGGTGAATACTGGCTAGATCCCTCACCATCTGCTAGGATGATCTGCGGGTATATTTCCTGCTGGCTACTTGTAAACCTCTCTCCTGCTAAACCCATTGGCCTCTGAACCTGATCCTCGACAGGGGCAGACTGACAACTCATGGGGCCCCCGGGCAATAGGGGACCATGGGGCCCCTGTGTCCTTGCCCAAACTCAAAAAAGCCTATCAAAAAGGTACCAGGGGCATCTCATGGGGCCCCCTACTGACCCCGGGCCCTCGGGCAGTGCCCGAGTTTCCAAATGGTCAGTCCGCCCCTGATCTTAGACCATGGCAAACTGGTCACTTGTGGTGTAGAGCATCATTCCCCTTAAGCACACTATAATCAATACAATAATTCTCATAATGGTAATCCACAGCATATCCATAAGAGCTACATGTGAAAATAAACAATTATTATTTTAAAAAAATTCAGTAAATTTTTTACTGATGGAAGAATTGTCAGGACTACATGAAAAATCCACTTTAAGAAATCAAGACAGGACACGTCTTGAATTGTAACCGACTCTGCACTGTTAGGGAACACATGGCTGATGGCTCAATAAAAAGAGACCTTTTCTGATAACAACTTACAATATAAATCCTGTTGACTGATAAAAGCAAGCCAGATATTCTTTGTCGCTCCGTCACATCATAAATGGATCCCTCTCAATACTATGTAGCCTCCTATCTATCTGTACAAGAACGATCTTTACAAAGAGATATTACATGACCGCACAGAACCTCCAGCTCTTAATATTTTATGAGTCTTGGAGAAGAATGAATTCCTTCCAGATAACAGTCTACCTATCCAAGCTTGAAAGCCAATAAACAAAGGGAAAATTCTATGTTTACTTAATGATCACACAGTGCAAAAAAATCATAACCAAATATCTTCCAAAAGGACGCTTGGCAAGAAAAGTTTTGAGTCAGGATGAAAAAAAAAAGAAGTTATCATTGTTCAGTGACTCATTGAAAAGACCACTGGATGGGGAACAATGAATGATTTATAAGAAACATGTTTTTGTTTAAATATTTGTTGGGAAAAAGTTATGCTGAGTTCCTCCCACAGTCCTGAAACATGCTGGTAGGGTAACTGACTTTTATACTGGCCTCAGTCCATGTGTTTAAGTGATTGTTGTATGGATTTTAGATTATGAGCTCTGTTGGGACAGTGAGTGTGATGTTCAAATCAATATTGTTAGTGTTGATTTATTTGGTATCGCAATCTATGTGGTGGAGCATGAAGTATTATAGACAGGGGTCAGTAATAAGGACACATGAAAAAAAAGTCTCAGCAATATTAGGTAACAGCAGTTAAGTATATAAAGCAGAACTTTAAAGGGTTATTCTGTCCAAAACTGATATTTAAATCACATCTAAACTCAAAAGCCAAAATTCTTAAACATGGTTGCTGCATTTGTACTCTTTTTTTTTTTTTTTTTTTTTTTTAGGATTTTTTTTTCATATGGTCACCTGGCCAGTAAGCCTGTTATTTTCTAAATTTCCTTTGACAGACCAAGCTGTCCAGCAAAAGTAGCAGTTACAGAAATCTCTGTAACTGCTTATAAAGTGTTAGCTGGAGCTTGGCTTCAATTTGTTAGTCAAGTCCATCTGAATCTGTTAGTGCACCTTACACTACCCTCTCCCCAGATTGCCAATGCTACTGTCCATAGTGTGGAGCCACCCTAAATCTTATCATACACTCTTTGAATATTGGTCAGTTACTGAGGAACAAGCCAATATTCACCCCTAAAACGAATTGTTCTGCCTCCAGCAAGGGGAATATATTACTACTGTCCTGCCCGCAATATCAATTTGACTACTAGATTGAGCCAGTAATATATTTACTGTTTTACAGAAACTAGAGACTGTTTAGATAAGAGTTAAGAGTTAATAAAAGTTCCTATAATTCTGAGAGAAAGGAAAGAGATGCATCTTGGGAATTCCGGCTCCATCTTAGAAACTGGGAGAGAAAGACCAGCTATCAGAGCACATGTTGGACTAAAACTTGTATCTTTTTGCATCCCCTAAAGGCAGCATCGGTGTGGAGAATAATTTATTGCCATCTATAGCTTAATTATTCATTATGTTTTCTGTATGTTCTTATATTGATTATACAGTATGTACTTCTTATTTGTATTTTCTTAATAGTTTCACCCCCCACCCTGTTTTGTTAATAAAGCTTCAAGACTACTTTCAGTCTGGCTTATTGCAGAATAGGAGGGTTTAGCTACATGTCAAGTTACACACAGGGAAATGTGTAGCAAGGATAGAACACTAATCTTAAAGTCAAAATATGAAAATCCACTAACAGGCAGGGTTTTTATAATAGAAGAGACCCTAGCGTCTCTTCTGTTATAAAATTATGATCTTCTGTCATAAATTCCTTTCACGGCCTGTCAGCAGTAATGTAGTCTGAGCCAGGGGCGGACTGACCATTTGGAAACTGGGGCACTGCCCGAGGGCCCGGGGTTAGTAGGGGGCCCCATGAGATGCCCCTGGTACCTTTTTCATAGGCTTTTTTGAGTTTGGGCAAAGACACAGGGGCCCCATGATCCCCTATTGCCCTGGAGGCCCCATGAGTTGTCAGTCTGCCCCTGGTCTGAGCCATGCATGTGCAGCTTGTTAGCAGCACTGATTCAGCAACAACAATGGGCAAGCCGACCAAGGGTAACCATACCAGGCATGGCCGGATCTAGGGGGGTGCTGGGGTGGGCTATGCCCCCACAGATTTTAGTTGTGCCCCCAAAGCCAACCCTAAACTGCCAACCCACTATGCTGCCCTAATCTGCCACTATACCTCCCTAACCTGCCACTATGCTACCCTAAATTGACACAATACCACCCTAATCTGATACTTTACTGCCTTAGTCTAACACTGTACTGTCCTTGACTGACACTATACTGATCTCAGTTATGCTTTGTGTGGAGAAGAGGAGCTCTGCTGCCTGTGCTGAGGCTGTGTGCAGTGCAGGGATGGAAGAAGGAGCTGTGCCCCTGTCCTCTGCACTGCCAGCAGTGACCTTTATCCTCTGCCCTGCTGATCTCCCATCTTCTTCCCGCCTCACATTTTTTACTGCACCCCCACATTGGACAGGCTAGATCCGGCCCTGATACCAAGCCACATGCTCTCAACATGGGGGGGGGGGGGTTGTGCTTTGGAGCAGGGGGCTGTGGTTAAAGCTTGTAGGAGGACTTTTCATTCTGCTCTAGGAGGATGCAGAACCCCTGACCTCTGTCTGGACAGTGCTGATTGGCCCTGTACTGATCTCATGCACTCTCCCAGTAAATAAAAAAAAAAAAAAAACCTCTCTAGCAATACACACCAAACTGAGCATGTGCAGAGTGACTCCACACAATGTCTTATCAGGTTATAGGAAGGGGACACTGGAAGAAGGGGAGAATCAGAGAATTCAGGATCAAATAGCATTTTTACACAATGTAGAGCTTTAAGGTTAATTGGATCCTGTCTAAATGGGCCCTTGTATGTGTATGTATGACTGTGAGTTAGGGACCTTGAGGGTCAGGTATTGATGTGAATGTATAATATATATATATTTGTAAAGTGCTGTGAAAATTGACAGCGCTATATAAGTACCTGAAATAAATAATAATATACAAACTGATTTTACTGTTGTGGGTTTAGTAACAATTTAAATACAAAAATAATTTAAAATAATAATAAACAATAATTAATTGTGACGTATGTTCAAAAATATGCAGTATATCTCAGTAAAACATTCACATTTACTCATGATTTGTGTCTATAAAAACACTGCAAGTACAAAAAAATACCTGTAGATCCTGCAAGAAATCCAGTAAGCTCCTAACTTCCTGTGGTGAGCCAACAGTGTTACCTCTGTTGCAATGAAATCTGAACCCAAACTACCAAAAAACCTTCCCCTACATTATGGAAAGAAGGAGAGGGGGAGGTGTTCTGTAATCCAGCCGATCCAGCCAGGGCTGAGAACACTGCTTGGGATTTCATTGCAGCAGAATCAGTGTTGTCAGCTCACTATAGAAAGTTGAGATCTCATTGGATTTCTGGTGTGTCAACAGATATTTTTCTGTATTTGCATTTTTAAATAGACAAAACATGGGGAAATGTGCAAGTATTGCAGGCAGTGGTGTCCTGAGGAAGGTGCGGGGGGGCACGTCGCACTGGGTGACACCGACTACACGGGGTGACACTGGACCTGCTCCACGAAAAGGTAAGTTGTAAAGCAAGCCAACGATCCCCACAGGATGGATCCGATCCATCCTGCGGGGATCGTCAGCTTTCTTTCCAACTTACCTTTTCATGGAGCGGGTCCGGTGTCACCCTGTATTGGTTGCATGCTGACGATCCCTGCAGGATGGATTGGATCTGCAGATTGAGGAGCATAATGGATCGGAGTCTGATCCATAATGCTCAATCCGCAGATCCGATCCATTTTGCGGGGATCGTCAGAGGGGGTGTCATCAAGTGTTATCGCACCGGGTGACATCAACCCTAGGGACGCCCCTGATTGCAGAAAAGTACTGAATGCACTTTTTTTGCCTAGTCATAAACTGTCACTGTCACTTTAACCTTGCAATTTCATTGTTAGCTGCCTGGGATCAAGGAGGCCACTATATGGGGACATGGGATGCTCTTTGCACAGACACTCTTACTTTGCACTACAGTGTTTCTGTGCTGTTAAAAAATGCAAATATAAGATAAATTGGAAATTAACCATCGCGATGATGGGGTTGGTGATGAATCTAAAAATGTTTCATAGTTTAACCACTTGACCTCTGAAAGGTTTTATCCCCTTCATGGCTAGGCCATTTTTTGCTATTCAGCACTGTGCTACTTTATCTGGGTGCATTTAACACTGTACACAAATTAAATTTATATAATTTTTTCATACAAATAGAGTTTTCTTTTGGTGGTATTTGATCAACACTGGATTTTTATTTTTTATTACATAAACTAAAAAAGACTGGAAATTTTGAAATAATAAAACACATTATTTTCTACTTTCTGTTATTAAACTGTTATCCAAAAAAAAACAAAAGAAAGTTCTTCATAAATTTAGGGCAAAATGTATTCTGCTACATATATTTGGTAAAAAAAAATCCCAATAAGTGTACAGTATATTAATTGGTATGTGTCAGGAAAGGCTTGCTCATAGTGCAGATAAAGTATCCCGGCGCATAAGAATGCGCATGCGCAGACCAGCAAGTGGCCGGGCAGATGTGCAAAAGAGTGAGCATAGGCACATGCACTTGTGCATACGGG